GCCGCTCCATCTATTGGTGGGGAGCATCACCTGCTGGAAACCGGGTCCAGCGTCCCATGATATTTTTAAGTAACCCAGTAGAAAAATGATGCCCATATGCTGGAAACTGGGTCCGGCGTCCCATATCCCAGTTATCACTTCCTTGCCTACCCTGCCTATCCTACAGCTGGGCCAGGGAATGGAGGGGGGCACTGGGGGGCACCAGTGGGGTCTCCCTTCATTCCTTAATCCCTGCCATCCACCCACTATCCTCTGCCATCCACCCACTATCCCTAGGGCATCTAAGATAGAGTGTTGTTTGCTGGAAACCGGGTCCAGCGTCCCCTTGCAAGAAATTCAAAAAACTCAGCGAAAATCTAATCATCTAACTAATCATCTAAATAAGAGTTGAAGGGCACAGAAACTCAACCCTTCTCAATTCAGTTACTTGCACTCCTTGCAGGTGTTCCGAATATAGACCAGAGGTTCTGAAAACCTTTCTGAACCTTTCTGAACCTTCCTGAACCTTTCTGACTCTTTCTGACTCTTTCTGATCCTTGTTGATCCTTCCTGACCCTTCCTGACCCTTCCTGAACCCTTCTGAACTTTCTGAACTTTTCTGCACCATCCTGCTGCTTCTGATGCTTCTGGTTCTTCATCGAGTCTGACTGAAGAAGGGCTCCCTAAAGCCTACAGAAGTCCGAGGGTGGTGATCTTAAAATGGTCTGAAAGTGGCTAACGGTGAATCTGAAAGGAGGCAGAAAGAAGGCAGAAAGAAGCAGAAAGAAGCAGAAAGAAACAGAAAGGAGACGGAAAGGAACGGGAAAGGAACGGGAAATGCTCTGAACTGAGTGAACTGAGTGAACTGAGTGAACTGAGTGAACTGGATGAACTGAATGAACTGAATGAACAGGATGAACTGAATGCATCCGGATTATGTGTGCTGTCATCCTGTCGTCCCGGTTCATGCTGTTGGCAGTGCTTCCACCAAGGACAACGGGTGGGGGGGGGAAGGGATCTGCGAAGTCCTGGGCTGGCCGTAATGGGACGCCCGGATCGATTTGGGTCCAGTCGTGGAAAATCAGCCGGTAGTCCCTTGCCATTCCTTCCCGGGGTTCTTCCCTCTGGTCGTATCCAGACCACTTAATCTCTGCCACCCAGCCTTCCCTAACCCCCCCCAGCCAGTCTTTACTGAAGTGGGAGATGGCCTTGTTCATATCACCCAAGGTATATGACAGGTCAAGCTTGTCTTTAACTGCCTTCCATTGTGTTTCAATTTCAAATTGGACCAATGTTCGTACTTGTTCCATGGCTTCACCGTCCTCCACCTGCGCCCGCTCTATCTCCAGGATACATCGCTTCCACCATATGGTCCATAAGACACTCCGTCTGCCCAGTCTGAACATATTTTCAACAAATGTGTTTCCCCGGATTGGGAGGTAGTGTCCGAAGAGTATGGCCCTCCAGTCCCATGGCCGCGTCTCACTGGGAACAATGTGGCGCCAGATTCTATCCCAACTTCTCCACAATAGCACTGACGCAGGGCATTGGAGAAAAATATGTTCTATAGTCTCCGCCCGCTTCGTCCCAGGGAAGCTCTGACAGCATTTGTGACACCATGGTAGCGCTTTCCCTTGCTGTTCCAAGCGTGTGTGGTCTATCAACCAATCATTGGTTGGTAGGCACCTATGTTCAATTTGCCATTGGAGGGCCGAGATTTTGGCGGGTCTGCATCTATGGTGAGCGAACCATCGAATGGGTTTAAGCAGACTGCGGTCAATGTTAAGGTGGCGATACCATCTGTCTTCCACACGGTCCCGCAATCTACATTTGGGTCTGAACATTCGGTAGACTGATTTAGTTTTGAGATTGTGTAGTGTCAATACGTTGTCCTGTCTTTTCCCCACCAGGTTACCTTGGCTCCATTGCCATTCCGTCGGGTCTAGGGGGAGGTCCTCAATTGGGGTCATCGGGCAATACACCTTGGGACAACAATCCTCCTCAAGCACCCTGATACGATACACCTCCTTTTGGTCCTTCCATACAAAGGGTTGTTGATTCCATTCTAATCTACCCTCTTTTTGGATGGAGAAGATTTCTATTAGTGCATCTTTAGGACCTGTGAGGTGCACACGCCCCACCTCTTTCTCATGATCGCATACCCCGCCCAGTCCCCGTCCTTTATGCATGGGCCTTTCCTGAGGGTGGCGAACCAATGGAGAGGGAAGCTCTCAATAAGATCGCTGAATGCTTTCTCAGTGAGATGGCAATACCACAGCCATGTACGCATCCTTTCTATGCTCTTCCAGTTACCAGCCTCCTTACCCCAAAGATCCCCAACCCTCCGGGCTCCGTGTTTTACCCAGCCTTTCCATGGAGCCTCCGAACTGTTTCGCACGCGTCCTTCGGAATCTGTTATTAGGCGGTTACCAAAAAGCAGTTGCCTGAATATCTCCTCCCACCTCTCTGGTGTTGATTGAAGTGGAGGGGGGAGTTTCCTCCACGTGCTTATGAGGCGCACCCATTGTTTGTCAGAAGGGTCCCCATTCCTATACTTTCTTGGCAACCTCCTCCTCCTCCTCCTTCCGTCTTCCGTTTTTTTTTTTTCACAAGTACGGATGCATCGGTTCAAACTTTAAACTTCAATCCTCAAACATCAAGTGAAGAGAGACCAAAAGACAAAGCAATGCCTGCAAGCCCAAAGAATGCTAAATTAATCCCCTTTAGCACTTCAATTAACTTTGAAAGTTTGAACATGTGATCACTCATATAGGCTCACATACTCACCACACAGCATAGAACAAAACCACAGCATCCTTGCCCGCTAGTTCTTGGTCGAAAGTCGAGTCGGTGAGGTTAAGTACTGCAGCTGAGAACTCCTGTGAGTCATAAACATAAATGATGGACATCAGTGCTTGTCAAACAGGAAAACAATATTCATAATTGTCTCCGATAGAATGCCCAAAAAAGATGAAAAAGGGGGGCTGTAGAGAGAGAGAGGGCGGAGGAGGGGAAAAGGAGGGGAGAGAGAGGGAAAGGAGGGAGGGAGGAAGGGACGCGCAGGGAGATGGAGGAGAGAGAGAAAGAAAAGGGAGCAAAAGGGATGAAGAGAGCGGGGGGAAGGGGAGGAGCAGGGTTGGGAGCCCACGGAGGAGTGACATCAGCAGCAACACAGAGAGAGAGAGAGAGAGAGAGAGAGAGAGAGAGAGAGAGAGAGAGAGAG